TATTCTTGAAAGATTGACTGTAACACAATTTTTTTTACACAATTACAAATAATCAAATTAATTTTTTTCCAACTTTTTTTCAGGGTCTCTGCCAAAATCTTTTGAGGATTTTTCCTCTGCTAGAGCATCCATGGATGCAATTGAAACAACCCAGGACATCACAACACATATGGATAATCAGGCCATGGCCTACAGTATGTACAAAAGTTGCCATACTTTTAAAGCAGTAACTTGCGTGCCTCCAAATGGTGCACTTACATTTTGCTCCATGCTGTACCCAGGTTCTACTTCTGATGTAGCTATTGTACGTCACAGCCAAGTTTTACGAAAGTTCAAAGCTGGAGACCTTATTTTGGTGGTCAAAGGTTTCACCATTCATGACCAGTTGCCCCAGGGTGTCTGCTTAATTATAAAAGCTCTTTTATCGACACTAGGCCAGTTTACCATACAAGAAGCAGCACTGTGTTACAAGATTGCTAAAGCACTTATTCATGTGGAAAGAGCCAACGAGAGGATAAAGAATTACGAGATTCACATACCATCTACTTACAGACCAATCTCAACAAAAATATTTATACCCGCACTTTCTAAAGAAAGTTCGGGTATATTGTTGTTACTCATGTCCGTCCGTCCGTCCGTCCGTCCGTCTGTCACACTTTTCTTCCCTGAACTCCTCCTACATTTTACACAGTAGCTTAATCATCTTTTGGGAGATGGTTGGTGGTGTCATGTAGATGTGCAGTAAGGTTTCGGAATTTTGATTTTGCCCCGGGGGGTCAAATGGGGGTCGAAAAAATAACGTTTTTTATGCAAAAAGCCCCGTCTTCTCTGAACTCCTTCTACATTTTACACAGTAGCCTAATCATCTTTTGGGAGATGGTTGGTGGTGTCAGGTAGATGTGCAGTAAGGTTTCGGAATTTAGATTTTGTCTCGGGGGGTCAAATTGGGGTCGAAAAATAACGTTTTTTATACAAAAAGCCCCGTTTTCCCTGAACTCCTCTTACAATTTACTCAGCAGCCTATTCATCTTTTGGGAGATGGTTGGTGGGGTCATGTAGATGTGCAGTAAGGTTTCGGAATTTTGATTTTGCCCCGGGGGGTCAAATGGGGGTCGAAAAATGACGTTTTTTATGCAAAAAGCCCCGTCTTCCCTGAACTCTCCTACATTTTACACAGTAGCCTAATCATCTGTTGGGAGATGGTTGGTGGTGTCAGGTAGATGTGCAGTAAGGTTTCGGAATTTAGATTTTGCCCCGGGGGGTCAAATTGGGGTCGAAAAATAACGTTTTTTATACAAAAAGCCCCGTTTTCCCTGAACTCCTCTTACAATTTACTCAGCAGCCTATTCATCTTTTGGGAGATGGTTGGTGGGGTCATGTAGATGTGCAGTAAGGTTTCGGAATTTTGATTTTGCCCCGGGGGGTCAAATGGGGGTCAAAAAATGACGTTTTTTATGCAAAAAGCCCCGTCTTCCCTGAACTTCTCCTACATTTTACACAGTAGCCTAATCATCTGTTGGGAGATGGTTGGTGGTGTCAGGTAGATGTGCAGTAAGGTTTTGGAATTAAGATTTTGCCCTGGGGGGTCAAATGTGGGTCGAAAAATGACGTTTTTTGTGCAAAAAGCCCTGTCTTCCCTGAAGTCTTCCTTAATGTTACTCAGAAGCCTAATCATCTTTTAGGAGAGTTAAATATTTTGAAAATTATGTAAAACATCAACGTCAAGGGGTAAAAAAGCATCACATGCTGGGAAACACCTTGAATTCTTATGAGTAATTAATGTACATATCAAATGTGAGAGTCATATCTCATCTCAATCAAAAGTTATAAGCAAATGCAACATTTTTGAAAAGTAGAGGCTTGACCGCTTCAAGGTCAAGGTCACAGAGTAAAAGTCATGATTTATTTGGAAAGGTCTTATCACAGGTAATAATATACATGCATTATGATATGAATGCCCTAACTTTTCTCTTTCAAAATGATGAATTTATAACAATTTAATTTTTTTGCAAGTAGGTCAAACTTCTAGGTCACAGGTAAAAAAAAAAAAAACCCATGCCATTCTCACAGGTAAATACTAATACATAAGTTTAATATTCAGTAGATATGACCGTGATGACCAAGGTTAAATTTATTGAGACAGATGGACAGTCTGACATACAAATGTACATATTTCTATATGAATTGGGTAAAACTGGCCCAGTGGTTCTAGAGAAGTTAAAAATGTAAAAAGTTTTCAGACAAACAGATGGACGACACGTCACGACAGACGTTATATTGCTAAGGAAACCAGAAAAGCTCAAATGAGTGTTTTGAAAGGGTTAGAATATGGTTGCAGTATTTGAAAAGCTGTTTTTTTCATGCAGAGATATGCATGACCAACATATTCATGTTTTATATTTTCTTTAGTAATTTGTTTGTTTGTTGTGAATACATCTCTCTTGGGAATTTTTCCCTCATATGGAGACACCACCAAATAATAATGAAGACAAGATGTGTTTGTGAAACACTGATGTCCCTGTATGGAAGCCTATGGCGAAGGTTGAAGTTTCTCAAATATATGTCAAACTCAAAGGTCAAGGTCAAAGGGTTCAAATTGTTAGTATCAGAAGAAGGAATGCACATGTGAAATAAAGAAATCCCTAGTAATTCCTGTTCAAAAGTTAATTGCCAAGGTTAATTTTTTTTTTAAGTGGTTCAAACTCTAGGGTCAAGGTCAAACATATTTATACCTGTTGACAGTTCGCAATGAATACACATGTTAAGCATGAAAGCCCTAGCACCTACTGATCAAAATTTAGGCCAAGTTTAAAGTTTGGTATTTTTCTTGTAAAAATGTGTATCCTAGGTCAAGCGATTTCAGGTAAAAATTAATGGTACCCAAATAAAAGGTCTTAATTGTCACAAGAAATAAACCTATAAAATGTGGAAGCCATTTGTATAGCCCATCCCACTTAAAACTTATGGGCAAGGTTATAATTTCTGCAGACAAATAGACAGACATAATATAAACACAAGAAACAAAATATGTATAATTACTCAAATGGAAAAAAATATACTATTTAATTGGAATCACAAAATAGATTGTTATTTCAGGGACAGGGAGTGGGTAGGGAGATTGGAATCCCCCCATCCCCCCCCCCTGGAATTAGCTTTGTTATTTAAACAAGACTATACACTGAAGCAAATAAAAAATGACTTTGGACATCCTCCCCCTAACTGAGAAAACATTGACCACACTATCATTGTATTTGTTTTCAGTTTTTTTTTCTCCTGCTTGTCAGGAAATTCTGGGCTGGAAATTTTTTGACTGAGATGTGAACCCCCCTCCCTACTCCCGAAAAAAATTCTGGATCCGCACCAGTATTGGCAGTAACTGAATGTCACATCGACAATGGCAGATAACTTCACAATATGAAATTCGTCTAGTGTGGCATGCGATGATCTTTGACCCTTTTTGAACTTTAACCTAATCGTTTGGGTTTATTTTACCCCCCCCCCCACTATACTTAAACTTGTACTTACCGACTGCCATATGTCTCGTCAACTTCATGAAATATAAATCCAATTATAACACAAAATGAATTAATCCAATGCACACCAGACTGCAGCCATGTGCTAATTCCATTCGACAAACCTTCGTCGACTCCGTCACCTTATCAGATGAAGTGGGAATCGGCCGAGGTGTGCCAAATGGTGTTTAATCTAAAAATATGATAATGGGTGACGCAACGTGATGTGATGTAGAAATTTACATGTTAACATGTATAGTACAATTATGGTCCTATTATGAGCAAAACATTTATCAAAATCTAATTTACATCAATAATAGAATTCAAACTGGTATATAATGAATTAAGCATGTAAAATAAATATAAGAGGTTCTGAGTTATAGGTCACAGGGTCTGAGAATTTCATACTCAGTTTGATGAATACATGTAAATCATTGGTGTCAGAAGCAAATTCAAAGTGGGGGGCTAGGTGTAAAAAAAATTTTTTTATACCTTCTCAAAAACCTGACAAGCCAAAAAAAAAAAAAAAAAACCGAAAATATCAATTTCCCAAACACGAAAATCCTATTTCGGGGGGGTGGGGGGGTGGGTGGGGGGGGGGTGGGGGGGGGTGAATTTGAACTTCAGTACCAAAATTTTTTTTTCTATACACTACCTTTTTCCCATTTTTTTTTACCTATACTGCCATGTGTCTGTGGAAAGTGGGGCGGGGGGGGGGGGGGGGGGCTAAACCTATGAAGCAATGTTCAATAAACCTAGCCCCCCCGGTTCCGACGCCTATGTAAATTATAGAATTATTCTGACTTTTTCCTTGGAAAGACGCCCTATATTTAGGAGCGTGTATTTAGAGGCAAACACCTTAGTGCGGGTATTACTGTCTCATGACAGCACCTAGTTCAACTCTGTTCTTGTCTTGTAAACTTGCAAGCTCCACTTTTGAAAGAAATCACTTAAAGATGCATGTACTTATTATAAATTTGCATTGGCGTGTGACAGTATACACTAAACAGTGAAGATATTCATACCAAAGTGCAAGGGATAAGCAAATTTTGATTTGTTATCAATGTCAATGGTTATACATGTTATATTTGTTAACTTTGTAGTATGTTGTAATACATATGCTTCATAAAATGAAAATCCCTTTTGTTAGCATGGATTTATTACAAGAATTTTTGGCAATTCCATTCTTCATTTGACAATATAATTTAGAAGAGGGTTTACTTATAATTTTAAATCTCTAGTTTAAAGTATATTTACCTTCAAAGCAGAACTCAACAAATTCATGTTTTCAACAATTTATCTATTAAGAAAGACAAAAATGTTACATTTTCACTTTGAGAATAACATCTTCAATTCATTAATAAAATGATTCTAAATTTTGATATTCTTTTTTTATGTAGTACATAGATTTTATTCATCATCATTGCTATTTAAAATAGTCTTATAAGCCAGAAGTTTTATGATGGATTGTGACATATCATATCATACATTTATGAGACTTAGGAAAATTCAACACATTTAACATGATTACCCATTTTCCATTGTTAGAAAATTCTAGAGGTACAAAACTAAGTGTCAAGAAGTTCAAACCAGAACTCAGTTTTCCATCAGTGCTGGAATGAAAATGTTAATGTAGAAATCTATCAGCTTTGGAACATTTGCTGTCCATTCAATGTCTTTTACTATTCTAATCACAATGCAGTCTACTCTTGTCCACACAATTAAGTCGCAGAATGTTTTGTTACATATGTGTAGCTGGCCTTGAATTTGATGATAGTATGGGTGACTGGTTTTCAGGCACAGGGTATCTTGTTTAAGATCTAAAAAAAATCAAAAAACACTTAAGTTGTGTTATACAAGTACATATCCCCTCCTTTTTCAATATCTTCATACCATATTGAACAGCTGCACTTGTAAATTAATACATGTTTTGAAATCATTTACTCACCAAGATTTTTAATTTCAAAGTACTGGACAATACAGATTTTAATGTTATTTACCTATGAAAAATCCTTCAAATTTTGTGCCCCATCTGCTACTGTTGAAGACAATGCTGTATATGGACACTTCACCTCTACAATATCAGGAATGGCGTCTTTGGCTTCTGGGGTTTGATAAAATACACTGCATGTTGGTGGTCGAACAACTAAGCCATCAGATGAAGCTCCCAACACTCCGGATTCATGCAACCATATCCTTTTCAGAAAAAATTATAATACTACTGAATGCAAACAAACCATAATACAATTGATTTTGTAATGCAAACAAAGACTAAGTAGAGCTTTTATAATCCTTCCACTTCAAAAAGCAAATTTTCTGGAATATGTTGGTAACTGAATATTTATGCCCCGCCATGAATATGGCCGGGGCATATAGTGTTTGTCATGTCCGTCTTCCGTCCTTCTGTCCTTTCGTCCCACTTTGTGTTTAGCTCTGTTCAAAGCTAAGTTTCAAAGAAACTATCCAAGATATTTTCATCAAACTTCATATGCTGATAGATATTGATGAGAGCTATGCAACTGCATTAACATTTTTTGACCTTGACCTGACTTTTCTTAAATAGTGTTTAGCTCAGTTTTAAACATACCATTCAAGATGGTGTTATCAAACTTTACATGTTGATACAAACTTGCATAGATGATGCATCCAGAGATGAACACTACCGGACATGCTTCGGATGCTGGATCTGACCTACATTTTCCAGATGAGTGACCAAATTAAAGTTTTTGGAGCAGGTCCATTCTTAAGGAACTATAAGCCCTACTTAGACCAAACTTGCTTGGATGATGCATCTAAGGATGGACACTACCAGACTTGCTTCGGATGCTGGATCTGACCTACATTTTCCAGATGAGTGACCAGGTTGAAGTTTTTGGAGCAGATTTATTCCTAAGGAACTATCAGCCCTACTTAGACCAAACTTGCATGGATGATGCATCTAGGGATGGACACTACCAGACTTGCTTCGGATGCTGGATCTGACTTACATTTTCATTCCCAAGTAACTATAAGCCCTACCTAAACCAAACTTGCATGGATGATGCAGCTAGGGATGGACACTACCAGACTTGCTTCGGATGCTGGATCTGACCTATATTTTCATTCCCAAGTAACTATAAACCTTACCTGAACCAAGCTTGCGTGGATGATGCATCTAGGGATGGACACTACCAGACTTGCTTTGGATGCTGGACCTACATTTTTATTCCCAACTAACTATAAGCCCTGCCTGAACCAAACTGATCAAATTTTATACATGTACAAATTTCATGTTGCTTTACTAATATATCCTCGGCGGGGCATTCATGTCCTATGGACATATTTCTAGTTTTTTTACAATTAGACTTCAGTAATTGATTTCTGTTTGTCACCAGGATAAGTCCTGCTATTTGTTTTGACACATTGAATGTTAACATGACAGAGGTTGAATGAATGTTATTTTGTGCTGTATACCTGACTGCTCTACAGCTGCATCAAATTCCTTTTTATACTTTCTCAAAGCATCATCTTCATGAGTGATACCCCATGCAACAGCCTTGATGGACTCCAGATTGTAAGCCGACATCAGCTGTTTCTTCAGTGACAATGTCAATCTGGAGAAGAAAATATGATTTTTGGTTATTAATCTTATATTTCCTGCATCTTTATGTACAAATATCTAGTCATTTCTTTCGAACCTCATTATCTCAAACTCAATGAGACCAAGAAAAATGTTGGGAATATCCGTGGATTCAAGAATAATACATAAAGAGTTATCAAGAATAAAATGTCCCAGTCTTTTATAAATGGTTTGGACTTCAAAATTACTGTGACATATCCATGAAATATGAGATAATGGGTTTGAGATAACAAAGTTTGACTGTAATTTTAAAAGTCTTTTTCGCAAAAATTTAATAACACGTCTTACCGCCTTTGCTTAGAACTGAGAACTGCACCAAAGTTGGAAGCTGATATGCTATATTTCCTTACAATCGACCACATTGGGTTGTTTCGTTGCCAATGCAGCTCTTTTAATGGATTCAGGGATAATGCATGCTGTAACCATACCATAGGGGTATCAGAATGAACATACTCTGGTGATGTTAACAGGTCTTCAATGAGAGGTACAGGTGGACCAGGTTCACATGGCTCTGGTTCAAGAATCCAATTCAATGCTGAAAAATTTCATTACTTGTGTCATTCTCAAAAATATCATCCATAATATCCATATCACATATACCAAGTATTTATATAAGAGTCCATACATTTCATTTTAGTGAACACTGTCATGGATTTTTGTAATGTATGCATTACATATCAAATTTACAACTCACTTGCATATATTTGTTCAGAATTGTTCCTGTATATAATTTTGCACGTGACATTCTTAGTGTGAAAATGCCATGTAAAAATTGGTGCAAATGTACAATTAATATTTACTTAATTATTAACAAGGTTTCATAATGACAGAGTATTTAAATAATGGAAGATTGATCTGATAATTCGCAAGAATATGAAACAAAATATTTTTTTTAATGCAATTGAATAATTTATTTTTCCTTTCAAAAATGTATGCTCATGTACAAAAATGCTATCATATTTATAATATTGTCTTTCCAATTATTCAAAGGTTGTTATTAATATTTATTACATAATATGTTCAAAAATTGGGCAATATACATAGCCAACTATATTATACTCCTCATCTTTGTACATTTGTTCACAATTAAAATTAACCATCGTTCAGTAACAAAATAACAGTTTCATAATACTCGTAATATAAAAATCAAATCAAACTTAAATAACAACAATAGTGACACCAAAATCATAACTTCCTTCTTATATTTTACCAATAAACCTTCCAAGGTGCAAAAAACACTGGTCACTTTCATCAAAGGGTCGGTTTAAAGCACTTCAAATATGAAGCAAATTTTTTAACAACTGATTTATTTATATTTAATGATTGATCATTTTTAAAAAAAAAAAAAAAAAAAACTAGGAGACTTATTGTTCAAAGAACAATAAGAGGTCTTTCCACCTTCTTTGAATTTCAATTTTGTTTTAAAATTTCATTCCATGAATAAGAAATCAAAATTGTTTTAAAGGATAGCAAAAATTAAAAATAAAAAAAAAATTGAAATGACCTTGACCTTTAAAAAATATTCAAGGTCAAAGGTCAAGGGTCACAATGCAATTGACCCCATGCTTCTACGACTTATAGTTTTCAAGTTATAAGGTTAAATAGGAAGTACAAAGAAGTTAAAGGGCAATAACTCATATAAGGGTTCATCAGATCCTTTTGCACTTATATAGTGAAGTTATGCCTTAAGACCCTTAAGACATTAGTGAAGGTTTGGTGTCTATATGGTCTAAGGTTTTGGAGAAGTAGCGATAACAAGGTTTTTTGCACAAGGGGCAATAACTTTTTAAAGTGTTAATATTTGGGGACAAAAATAAAATGTTTGAAAGAGTTTTAAGAGTACATATTAATGATGCAAAGACATTAAGTATATATTAAGAGACAAAAGAGATATAGAAAAAGCTTAATTTCTCATTTTCTGAATGACCTTGACCTTTGACCTTTGCATGAAATTTTAGATCAAAGGTCAATGAATCTTATGCAGTTGGTCCCATCTCTCTACAACTTGTCGTTTTAAAAAAAAATAATTATTTGTTTAATTCAAAAAGTTTCAGGGGCAATAACTCATTGAAGGGGTCGCTGAATGCTTTCGCAATGAATAGATTGAAGAGTCCCCTTAATTAGTCGAAGACATTGGTGAAGGTTTCATACCTCTACGGTTTATGGTTTCGAAGGAGTAGCGATAACAAGAATTTCTTACAAAAGGGGCAATAACTCCGAAAGTGTTTGAAGTTCATTTACGCAGGGTGAACTGCAATAATCTTTTACGGAGAACATTCTTATGGACTATCAATCTTTTCGATATATCTTGAAACTCAAAATCACACGGCGGAAAAATAATAAAAAATAAAAAAAAAAACAGAAGAAAATCAATAGGTCTTTCCACAGAAAGGTGGAAAGACCTAAAAAAACAAGAGGCCCATGGGCCACATCGCTCTCCTGAGCACTGTGGCTAGGAAAAAGTAAAAATTGGTTTTTTATTGAAAAGTTTAAATCCAAAAGTAGTCCCTTGACCAATCATGGCTTTGCTTTTCTTGAGAAGGTTATTTTTAAAGAATTTTCCTATATATTTCTATATAAAATTTGATCATCCTTTGTGGCCCCGTCCTACCCCCGGGGAACATGATTTGAACAAACTTGAATCTACACTACCTAAGGATGCTTCCATATAAATATGATCAATCAGGGTTTTGCTGTTCTTGAGAAGAAGATTTTTAAAGATTTTTCCTTTATATTTCTATGTAAAACTTTGATCTTCCATTGTGGCCCCGCCCTACCCCGGGGGTTATGATTTGAACAAACTTGAATTGACACTACCTGAGGATGCTTCCATATAAATAGGATCAATTATGGCTTTGTCATTCTTGAGAAGAAGTTTTTTAAAGAATTTTCCTATATATTTTTATGTTAAACTTTGGTCAGCCATTGTGGCTCCGCCCTACCCCCGGGGGTCATGATTTAAACAAATTTAAATCTACACTACCTGAGGATGTTTCTCCATAAGTTTCATTTTTCCTGGCACAGTGGTTCTTGAGAACAAGATTTTTAAAACATACCATCAAATTTTCATTAAATCCCAATTATCTCCCCTTGAATGAGGGTGTGGCCCTTTATTTAAACAAACTTGAATCCCCTTCACCCAAGGATGCTTTGTAGCAAGTTTGGTTGAAATTGATCCATGGGTTCTAGAGAAGAAGTCGAAAATATGAAAAGTTTACAGACAGACAGATGGACAGACAGACAGACAAACAGCTAGATAGACAAAATGTGATCAGAAAAGAGCTAGAAATGAAACATTCCTCACCACAAAAGCCAGAAGAATATACGGACCACCACCAGTAACATGTTTCTGGGAAGAACCAAACCATGCAGAGATAAATATCAATAGTCCTGAATCTTCGATGCAGGACCAAGTTTGAGAATTGCTACAAACACTACTCCGGAGACTTACCTATTATCCTATGATGTAACGTACTTTGTCCACTGCAGCTGGTTCCCTCATAAGCTGGTAGCGAGGACAGTTCAGGATGTCCTGTCAACTTTATTCCTCAACTTCCTGTCTTGGACTGAAAAGCAATAAGTGGAAATCTTTAGTGTTGCCTAGTGACTTTGAATTAAAAAGAAAGTTGCAAGATTGTGATGGGGGGGGGGGGGTACTGATGCTGTGCATTTTCATTAAATGTACGAAATCTGTATTTCACAGTTTAATGCATTCATGTATTTTGTGAATTGTCTTAGGATTCATGTAATAATTGTTGCTATGTATTATTAAGCACTAAATCTATTCAACTGCATGTGTAAATGGGGAAAATGTGGATATGTAAATGATGTATAATTGCAATGTGTAAAATGTGACATTTTCTTATATGAGGGAGTCTGTTCATGTAATTTTTGTTTCATTAATTATTTTATTTATCTTGATAAAATTATTTCAATTAACAATATTGTTTTTCTTACCAGTCTGATGAACAAAAGTTACAGAGGTGAATGGTAGAAATATGGGTATTACAGGTGTCAAAACTCCTCGTTGATGACCAGACTGCATGCCGCACTGTAAAATCACCATTTTGGATCTTTAAAAGGGGAGGCTACTCCTGAAATCAAAGAAATTGTCATAAAAATGAGTAACCTGATTTTCTTTAGGTCTCACACAAGGAAATAATTTCACTATATGTTACTATATAGCTTTAATTAAATAAATTAATTAACTAGACTCTCAGCAGATAATTCATGAATGAGAAAAAAGATTAATGCTTAGACAAAATTTGAGATCAGAAAAAATATACCCCTTATGCAGCTTTTAAGAAAGAAAATTGAGACTAAACATACCTATACCCTGAAATACACATGGGCAAACAGCCAACACACCATCGAGGAAGTTACATCGATCATGCGTACCTAAAAAAAAAAGAGTTCCCTTTGATTCAGTGGCACAATTCTGCTGATATGATATTCCTAGTGCATGAGTCCAAAATTAAAACTGTAGACCTACGTAAAGTTCCTGAAAATGAAAAAAAGAAAAGAAATATTATTGTCTCTATATACATCATACATAGAACTACATTTGTTCATTTTGATTGGCTATCTCCTTGCTAAGACCTTTAAGGGGTAATTTTATGATATTTACCATGTGCACTGATTGCCATAAAACTAAAGAAAAAATACCAGCCTTACAAAGTCACTTAACCATGACCTTTGGCATACCTTACTAAGAATACCCTGGACAATTTGGTTTAACTTAAGACTTCTGAATTTTTAAATGCAGGTTTTGATAAATTAACCATTTAATATACTTATGAGCTCATAAAACTGTTCTTTAAAACTGTATGATAAAGAGTGTAAAAACTTTGAAACATGTTTGGAAAGTATTATCACACATGTGATATGGGATAAATTATCACCACAGAAAGATCAAAGAAAATCACTGCAGATATGCGACAATAATTCTTATCATTGTTTATTGTATGTCAAGTCTAGAATATGATATACAATTACAAATATTATGATTTTTAGCCGGGCACATTGCTCTTAGAGCAATGCTCAGCTATAGCGACGGTGAGCAACAGAAAATGCTGCTTCTTCACCGCCAAATTGAGTTTACGAGTAAAAGTATGGTACGTGACCAGCCGCTGTTGAGAAAACAAAATCACCTTAAGAAATAGTAAATTGAATATTTTTATCATAATATTAAATTGTTTAATATTTTTTCCTGGCTCCTTTGACTACTATTTTACAAAGTAATTCAACGGGTGCGAAAGGTTCTCACCAGGTATCCCTGTCTGCATCATATTCTATAAACAATATAATTAAAACTAGGGCTAATTGTAACGGGAACCGTTACAGATGTTCCCCAAACGCTCCCCAACTCCCTTTTGGTGCCATACTCCCTTTAAGCTTCATTAAAAACGACAAACTCTATGCATTTTACACTTTAACAACGTTTCCCTGAAGTATACCGAGTATATTCAAATTCTAGCATTTGTACGCGTGCACATGTAAATGCATGTGCGTAATGACCATATTCTCTTGTCTACACTATCTATATACATTAATATAATAAAATAATAAAGCATTTAATCCAAAAGTATTAAAAAATACGCTTCATCAAGTGTATTTTTGATTTTATCCATCTCATGTGCATGCACGTGCATGCATGTGCATGATGACCTTACCTTTTTGTAGGAATCCACTATGTCTATCTATGTTCTAAATCCCATCCTGTTTGGTTGAAAATCAAAGGAGTTATACCCATTTAAAGTTTAAGCCAATCAGATTGCAGCGCACGTGCATGCGCGTGTTTTCATGACACCTGCTATATATTATATTGTAGTATATCCTAATGCATGACTATGTTTAAAATTTCAAAGCATTTCGTCAAAAAACAAAAGAGATATTGAAATCTTTGTTTCAGCCAATCAGAGGGAAGCGCACGTGCATGCACGTGAGTTCGTGCTAATTTGACCATGTCATATTATCTAGACTATTAATATATCCTTATAGAATGAGTTTCAAAGCATTTCAATCAAAAATGTAAAAGTTATTGCTATAATAAGTATATCAGTCATTTCACTCATTTCACGCGCACGCACGTGCATGCGTATGCCCGCAAAATGACCTTCGTTGTGCACACCTACACTTGACACCTATTAACCCTAAAAAGGTTTTAACTTAGTTGGGTGAACAGTTTCTGAGAACACTCGCGGACAAAAAAAGTACCGGAGAACAAAGAAGAAAAAAAAGAATAATAACTAGAGCCGAGCTCGTTGCAAAGCAACGAGAAGGTCTTCCGTCCTGTTTGACCGGAAGTAACTTTCATTTAAAAAAAATAAAGAGTAATGAAGTCCCAAAATGGTTTAATCCTCCAAATCTATGTTAATTATTGCAAAATTAAGCCATTTTTGGCAACTTCCGGTTTGACCGGAAGTGACGTCGACGGACGGAAAATTAAGATTTAAGCTTCCAGTGACATATGATATCCAAAAACGTGTCAAGAACAGCAAAAATATGCAATTTCCGACTACTTCCGGTTTGACCGGAAGTGACGTTGCCGGACGTATTTTGACGACGCCATTAGATAAAGTTTGATATTTTGAACAATTTTGCTTCTTTGACGTATTACAAATTCTCAACACTTTTTGAGATATAAAGGAAAAACTTTTGGCCCCTTTCAGCCCTTTATTATAGGGGCCAGCCCCTTATCGTTGATATCTTTCGAAAGATCGTGACATTCTTCACAACTTTTGTTCTATATGTTTTTACAAAATATTAACGTGTAAAAAGATATTGCAAAAAAATGTGTGAAAAATTTCTAAATTCTCGATAGGTCTTTTTTCGAGCCATAGCGAGCGCCGACGTGCTGCACTTCCGGAGAATAAGAAAGGTGTGTGTCACATCAGCACATGTTACTTTATCATCGCTGAAAATCTTACGTTTCTATCTAAAAGCACTTTTGAGAAAAATGCTGGACAATGTGACCCTCTGAAAATCACTAAATCGCGGAAATCTCGAAACCGGAAGTGACGTCATCAAAACAAAAAATTATATATCAGGTTTGATTGATGTTCCATCAGTCCTGAAAGTTTCATGAAAATCGATCGAGCCGTTTCTGAGAAATCGCGTGCACAAAATCGGTAAGAAAAAAAAACAATAATAAAAACTAGAGCAAAGCTCGTTGCAAAGCAACGAGTAGGTCTTCCGTCCTGTTTTGACCGGAAGTGACGTCAACAAATAAAAGCAAATGAGCTAAGTGGTCTCCATTGACATTATAATTTTGATTTTGCATTTAAACCTTCAAAAATAAGCTACTTTTGGCTACTTCCGGTCACTTCCAGTTTGACCGGAAGTGATGTCAACAGACAGAAAATTAAGTTTTATGCTTCCAGATACATACGTTACCCAAAATTATGTCGAGAACGGCAAAAATAGGCTTATTCTGACGACTTCCTGTATGACCGGAAGTGACGTCGCCGGACGCATTTTGACAACTCCAATAGATTAAGCTAGACATTTTGAACAACTTTGCTTTTTAGACGTATTACAAATTCTCAATACTTTTTGAGATATAAATGAAACATTTTCGGCCCCTCTAGGCCCTTTATTTTAAGGGCCAGCCCTTTTTTCGAGATATCATTTGAAAGATCATGTAATTCTACACTTCTTTTGTTCTATATGTCTTAACAAAATATTTTCATGTGAAAAGATATCGAAGAAAAGGTGTTAGAAATTTTTAAATTCTCGACATGCCTTTTTTTGGACCATAGCGAGCTTCGGCGTGCAGCACTTCCGGTAAAAATGAAATGCGTATGTCACATCTACAGACATTGCTCTATCATTGCTCGAAAACTCAAGTTTCTATCTTAAGCCGTTTTTGAGAAAACTGGCGGACAAACTGACCCCCTGAAAATCACTAAATCGCAAAAATCTCAAAACCGGAAGTGACGTCATCAAAACAAAAAATTATATATCAGCTTTGTTTGATGTTCTATCAGTCCTGAAAGTTTCATGAAAATCGAGCGAGCCGTTTCTGAGAAATCGTGTACACAAAATCGGTAAGAAAAAAAAACAATAATAATAATAACTAGAGCAAAGCTCGTTCCAAAGCAACGAGTAGGTCTTCCGTCCTGTTTTGACCGGAAGTGACGTCAGCAAATGAAAGCAAATGAGCTAAGTGGTCTCCATTGACTTTATATATTTGATTTTGTATTTAAACCTTCAAAAATAAGCAATTTTTGGCTACGTCCGGTCACTTCCGGTTTGACCGGAAGTGATGTCAACGGACAGAAAATGAAGTTTTATGCTTTAATGATACATATGTTACCCAAAAATATGTCAAGAAAGGCAAAAATATGCATATTCTGACGACTTCCGGTATGACCGGAAGTGACGTCGCCGGACGCATTTTGACGACTTCAACAGATTAAGCTTGACATTTTGAACAACTTTGCTTTTTAGACGTATAACAAATTCTCAATACTTTTTGAGATATAAATGAAAAACTTTCGGCCCCTCTAGGCCCTTTATTTTAGGGGCCAGCCCTTTTTACGAGATATCATTTGAAAGATCATGTAATTCTACACTTCATTTGTTCTATATGTCTTAACAAAATATTTGTATGTGAAAAGATATCGAAGAAAAGGCGTTAGAAATTTTAAAATTCTCGACATGCCCATTTTTGGACCATAGCGAGCGTCGGCGTGCAGCACTTCCGGTAAAAATGAAATGCGTATGTCACATCTACAGACATTGCTCTATCATTGCTAAAAAAACTCAAGTTTCTATCTTAAGCCGTTTTTGAGAAAACTCGCGGACAAACTGACCCCCTGAAAATCACTAAATCGCAAAAATCTCAAAACCGGAAGTGACGTCATCAAAACAAAAAATTATATATCAGCTTTGTTTGATGCTTTATCAGTCCTGAAAGTTTCATGAAAATCGAGCGAGCCGTTTCTGAGAAATCGTGTACACAAAATCGGTAAGAAAAAAAACAATAAAAATAATAAAAATAGTGGAAAAGAAACCTAAGAATAACAAGAAGGTCTTCCGCTGAAGACGGAAGACCTTAAAAATAGTGGAAAAGAAACCTAAGAATAACAAGAAAGTCTTCCGCTGAAGACGGAAGACCTTAATAATAATAAGAAGAAGAAACCGAGTAAAAACAATATGTTCCCAAACTCCGTTTGGGGAACATAATTAGATGTTAGATCGGCTCGCATACTCAACACACTAACATCTAACAAGTCATCCCATTGAGGGTCACGTAAGAGGTTAAATTCGGAACGCCTCAAGATTTATTCGCTTCAACAGTATATGATGATTTTGCCAGCTGCGATTTGATTAATTGATAGAATTTGACCTCTGACGTGACCCTCAACGGGATGTTGTTAGATGTTAGTGTAGCGAGTATGCAAGCGGATCTAACATCTAATTTGAATTAGATTGATTCTATAAATAAAGGTTGTACTATCAGGCTAACACAAATGCAGGGAACATCATTAATGACTTGATGCAAATCTCCCTGCTGAGGACACATCAGTGCAGAGACGTTTGACCTTAATCTTGCTGCATTGGTGTTTATTTACTTCTGTTTGTATATAAAACCGGATTACCCCGAAACGATACGTGATAAATATTTTTCGCTGTTAATTTCTAGCTATATTTTATTTTATTTTTAAAACTATTTAATATTATACATGCCATTGAGATATTTTTGTGTGTATTACATATTCTCTAAACGTCTGAATGTGATTTTAAACTGTCACCACAGTCCTTGTTCATTATCCTGTAAATGACCCCGGCTCAATACATTTACTATAAAAATAATTGGACAAATTTGTGAATGACAATATTCAATGATGCATAGCAATTAATCTTTTCCTGACATTCACCTTCTCCTAAAAATTTGTCGTGTTATTTATTTATTTATTGCAAAGTCGTCCCTGGACTAGTGCTACGGTCAATGCAGCTGCAATGGGCCATGCAATTTCGAACCCTGCGTGGTGAGAGTTTGTCCCGAGACACAGTTAGATTATTCTAACTAGCACCAATATAGAATAAATCATACCGATTAATCAACATCACTACAATGTGAGGACGTAAAATAGGATAAAACATCCTTTAGTCCAGCAATAAGCCACTAAATTGTTTTTGATGTACCTTCAAACAAATCAAATTAATGTTCTTGATTCCCACTTTTCACGTTATGACTGACTTAGTGCTTCTTAATACCAAAATAATTTTTCTATTACCTATAATTTTGACTTTAGGTTGAATTCGCCAATTTCATGCTTGCGAAGTTGTGTCAATGTGTGCATTACGACCGCTCCGGCTACTTTCGTTATTTCTAACCAATGAAAATTGTCCTTACTTTTCTGTTGCGTCATGCAATTTTATTGCACGCATCACTGAATTGTAGAACACACATCACAAGATTTCGAATATACATCACAAGATTATCGAACATACATCACAAGATTTCGAATATACATCACAAGATTATCGAAAATACATCACAAGATTTCGAATATACATCACAAGATTTCGAACATACATCACAAGATTATAGAATATACATCACAAGATATTGAACATACATCACAAGATATTGAATATACATCACAAGATTTCGAATATACATCACAAGATTTCGAACATACATCACAAGATTATAGAATATACATCACAAGATGTTGAATATACATCACAAGATATTGAATATACATCACAATTATAGAATATACATCACAAGATTTCGAACATACATCACAAGATTATAGAATATACATCACAAGATTTCGAATATACATCACAAGATATTGAATATACATCACAAGATTTTGAACATACATCACAAGATATTGAATATACATCACAAGATTTCGAAAATACATCACAAAGATCACAAGATTATAGAATATACATCACAAGATTTCGAATATACATCACAAGATATTGAATATACATCACAAGATATTGAATATACATCACAAGATTATAGAATATACATCACAAGATTTCGAACATACATCACCAGATATTGAATATACATCACAAGATTTCGAACATACATCACAAGATTTTGAATATACATCACAAGATTTCGAACATACATCACAAGATTTTGAATATACATCACAAGATTTTGAATATACATCACAAGATTTTGAATATACATCACAAGATTTCGAACATACATCACAAGATTTTGAATATACATCACAAGATTATCAAATATTGCAACGTTTGACATGCCATAGTCAACGTCTTCTTTTTCATATCTTGCCAATCGCCTGGCATAATTTTTAACAGAATTTAACTAAAGACTAAAAAATAGTTAAAATTAGTTGAAAATTAAATGACAACATCTCTAATTTCATTACAAACATTGTTATTTTACTCTGATGCATTTTGTCGTTTAAAATATTGGGTGATTAGGTGCTCTTTTATAAAGATGCTTTTTAATGTGTTTGTCTTCTTTATTCAAAAAATGTACATTTTAATGGTGACGAGCGATTGTGTTGTGGCGACGCCCCTATGTTCTATGGTTTTAACATCTTTAAAATGAATTCAGTTGAACATTATTCAGAGAAAAATTCATTGTTAGGTAGACTTATATATGTGCATCTTTTGGTATATTATAATCGATAATGTGACACAAATTATAACAGATATGGACAATGTAACATTACTTTTCGATGAACCCTCGTATAAATCCGCCAGAGATAACATTTCAATGGAATAAAAACTATCAAAATGGAAGCTCGGGGTTTCAGATACCTCTTCATTATTATAATTGTTGATCTAGAGTTGTTGATCGGTTCCTGTAATGGCAACTATGGACCAGCGGGTTCTCCGGAATGTGTGCTTTCTGACCAGTATCATTTTAAATACCAATGGGCCACTTGTCTGAAAAATGAAACTAACTGTCATTACCAGTGCATGATGAAAATCTGTGAATTTGCCGAAGGTAAGAACAATGCGAGGTTTTTCCAGAAAAATAGTAAAGATTTACAGGTTTTTTTTGTTTTGTTGCACTAATGTTATGATGATGAAAATTATTTTTTGAGTAGAGTATTTCCAATCCTGATCATGATTATAGCTTTTCAAAAAGTCCATTTATGACCTTTTGATTTCCACTTTTCAGTACGTTGCCATTTGTTTAGTCCAATTAGCTCTTTTGGAATCGGATTATCACTATAGCTTTTCTTTAAGCTTGTATAAATCAGTGTTTGAGATAAGTTTGACCTAATTTCACCGTTTTCATCTCTTTCTCCTTATGAACAAATCATTAATGATAATTTTGTGACCAAAACGTCTCCATTCTTTGCCATATCTATTCAAATGCTTATACGCATAAAATTACTTTCGTTGATCATGATGTCAAACTAATGCAAATTAGTACTACCGATCGTAAAGTTTCTGTCGATGTATTTTGTTTTCGCGTTGTAATTTTGTCTAATCTAATAATAATCTACACATTGCTTTTTTTCCTAAAATGTGAAAAAAAATGCCGTGCGCCGGTCAGCTATTTTATTTCCAATGTCAGTTCTACGTACCAATTGGATTTTAACCTCATAATATTATACTCAAATAAAAATATATCGTATAACATTGTGCAAAAAATTATTCTTTTGGTCGGCCATTTTGTTGAACTATTCAAAACGTTCGCATTTTTCTAGGAAAGCCCTCTTAGAGGCTTTATTGATTCCAGTGGATATTTTTAATTTGTTAATGAAAGTCATCAGTCAATATTCGAACTAAGAAAAGATTATATTTACAAACAAATTTAGTTTATTGGCCATAAAATTTACGAAATGTTGATTTTAAATGATATTGTTGTTATCCTTGTATGATCAATTTCTTTGCTAGTACTCTGTCTTATATTAGAAATTGTTCATACATAGAACTTGCGCTGCGTGTCCAGTCGGCAGTAAGCCCTTTTCACAAATGATAATGGTATATCGCTAAATAAATGAGGATATATCATAATAGAAATGTCTCCACGTTTTTCACAAACTTTACTTGTTCATTTGCCTATTTAGTTTATGCTTTTTTAAGATTGTAGATTACCAATGACAATTTATTTGATACATTTGTATTGAAAATACAGTTGTCTTTGGTGTCAAAAAGCCTGGATTTACATTTACTATAGAAATCGAATGTGTAAAGGCCAAAATCTTGAAAATTATCATTTTGAGAGAGACTGTACAAAATCTGGACACACATCCTTTTTCTGATGATGAAAAAAAATCCCCATATTCATAACAGGTTTTCTGAATTTTTTACGATGTTGTTTCATCTTATTTATAAACTCATTATGCCAAAAGACACCTTTATTGACCAAGCTAAACTAATTATAAAGCACCATTAAAGGAATTATATTAAATTAAATTTGAACAATCCGTAGGTACCTTTCATTTACTAGATATTGACCTTAACACCACATATTGAAAGTTGTGCAAGATTCTTGTTTCTCCTTCACTGCTGATATTATTTCCGCGAGTAAGACAGAAAGACTTTGCAAGGGTTTAAAATAATATGTTTAAATATAATAATAAATTGATATTGTGAATGTTTGCATTTCTGTACTACTATATTGAAATGACATAGAATACCCCACTCTGTACTGTACTAAGTTTGGTCCCATCAATGGACATTCAATTGATAAATGCATAGTATGTGTACCGAATGGAGGTCATATAAAACTTTCTAACCCTAACCCTAACCCTAACCCTAACCCTTTATCAAAATGACGTCATGTCGACAAGTTTGCTGCGATCAGTGATTTGTTCATGGGATTTAATTAACAAGTATGTTTAATGCATTGATACATATCTGTTGATATTTAAATAATTTTGTTTAAATTCAATAAAAAGACTAACTCAAAAGCAAAAATAAAAATATACCATAGATTTCTTTCTTGAACTGTGAAACAATGAATTTTAGATGAAGGACATGGAGATAACGAATAGTATTCAATATCAAAGTACATAAAACAATACATAATAGGAGCAGAGCAAAAACGGACCTAATAAACATCAGAGGTGGAATCAGGTCCCATGAAGGAGTGAGGATCCCCTGCCGACCGGTCACACCCGCCGTATGCTCCTTGTCTTGATCGGGAAATAACAGGAAAATTTGTAGTCATTTCAGTGTTAAATAACAAACTTATAGTATGAAAAAAATCAGTCAACATTTGACTCAATGATGTTGTACTCGCTGACAAGGTCATTGTATCGACAATAGAACCAACAAAATGACATGATATGAAACTGCTAATATACGTGTTTCATCATCTTGTGTGTCAATAGTTTACCTGGATTTAGAAATTGATCATTCGTAGAGCATGCTTTTGTGTACCGAATCAACTGAGATATATAAACTCCGTATGTAGGTGATGAAAAGATAAAGTTATCACGTTTATTATAGAGCTTGGTTGTTAAATAAATATTAACGTCTTTTCACGAAAATATCCAAGCTTGAAACAGATGTGTCAGAAGTGCTTGTAATCAAATGTGGAAACTACAAACGCGATAGAAACTTTAAAATAAAATACCAGTGAGGTTTTATGAATGAAGGATATGGAAATAACGAACATTTCTAGGGGATGTTTGTGATGAGGGTGCATGTGGAGTTCATGCCCTTCAACAAACCAAAAGTACAAACCAAATTCAACTCCCAAGCCATTGTTTCAATCCATCGGGTAAAGACTGCAATTGGTACAGCGACTGCTTGGAGGTTATTAATTCTTTAAAATCAATTTGATGTTTCTTATTCCTTTTAATTGTATTATAAATTCAAATTAATTGATGTTTTCAAATTCTTATTTTTGTCATATAGAGACGTTACCATTGCAAACAAAGACACCTGAAATCATATGCAATAAACTACGGGGAGAAATTTTGCGAGTTATTTATAGAGCATTCAAATAGATTTTCAACTGAGGGTCAGCATTGGCTTGATGCCGTAAGGAGGTGTTTACAGGTGGCGCTAGTTCCACTCCTTCGTCCAGACGTCCAAATTACTTGTGCAGAAATAAAGCAAAAAGCATTTCATTCTCACATAAACTGTTACAATAACCCAAGGAAAAAAGCTCCATCGTTTTGTGACTTAACAATATCGGACAAACTACAAATATATTCTATTGCAACACCCGGCATTTTTTCAAATTGCTTTCAACATAAGCATCTTTGAAAGGATATTTTAACATCGGCTAAAACGTTATGGGAAACATACAAGGCATGTCAATTTCGATAGGAAGTTTTCTCTAGTGCGAGTAATGTTAAATAGCTCCAGTTTTGGTATTTTTGTTTTAAGAAGCAATTTAGATCTCACAGATCTAAAAAAAAAAAAAATGTAATATATAGCATTGCTCAGCTAGAGCGAATCATGTAAATACGATTACAAACAGTGAGAAATGGAATTGGAACCAGGAGTTGTGACATAGATGGCATAAAACAACGTAACAATGAAAAGCAGACTGCGATACAACATATGAAAATATTCCTTGCATCCGGCATTCTCTATAATCTGAGTGACAACATAAACGTTTCTTTCACTGTCTGCGTGACTGGATCTGTAGTGTAATATGGTCCAAAATGGTATCCTTTCTTCAGATGTAATTGGTAGTTTGTATATGCCAATAACAATTGCATGAACTAATGTTTGGTATTAAAGCTCTTGTATTATGACGATGGTTTTTGGTCGCTCTCACATACAATTTTGAAAGTAGATGGATATTCGTTGATTTTATTAAAAAAAATAGTCTTGTCTTTAATTGTCTGTATATAAGAAGAAGAAATTCAAGTAAAGTTGTCAGAAAATCCCTTTATACCTTAAAAATGTCGAAATCCTAACAAACACTTTAAATCTATTTATGATTATAGTTTTCTTTCCTGAAATTAACAATAAACTGTAATCATGTAAAATATTTTTATCATATCATATACCATAGAATACTATTGAAATATTTTATGGCTATACATACAGTACCTGGCCATAAGTGAGTCATAATTGCATTTTTACGCTATATATTTCATTGAAAACCCTATTTTTAAAAAAACTTGTTGTGAAGTCAATTTTAGCTCAATTTTCATGATTTTTTCACTGAAACATGCAGAATTATTCAATTTTTCCTATCTTAATTGATAAACAAAATGATACTTAAACAATTGAGAATATATTATAAATATTGTCAAGACAAAATTTTCTAACCTCAAATTACTATGATTTCTTAACAAATCGAAGTCTTAAAATTTTTGTTTTGCACTTGACCTGTGATTTCACACTTATGCATAAAGATAAAACTATTTTGAAATAATGTGAAGAAACTACATCAAATTCTGCAGTTTATGGTGTTTTAGACATTAAAAAAAAACAACAAATGACACTGCAATAATATTTTAGAAAAATGCGTTTTTCAATGAAATATATAGTGGAAAATAAAATTATGACTCACTTATGGCCAAGTACTGTAGTTTAACAAAGCTGAAAAGATTCTAAGTGGAGAAGAAAATGTCTGGAGATGACGAAAAGTATGCAGGCTGAAAATTTAATTAAACAATGCAAAATAGAGGCAGAGCAAACACGGCCTCTAAACACCAGAGTCGGGATCAGGTGTCATGGAGGAATGAGCATCTCCTGCCAACCAGTCACACCCGCAGTGTTCTCCTTTTCATGATCAGAAAAAACACAAAAAAAAATTCAAATCAATTCGACCATAGAACTTATGAAATGTTGCCTTTAAACGAGACTGCAGGTTTTTTTGTTTCACTAACTTGTTTGTCAATAATTTACCTCAAATTAAAAAATGTTCATATGTAGATCATGCTCTTGCATAGTAAATCATTTGTAAAAGATGGCATGCTTCTCTTTGCATTAGAAGAATTAAACAAGTAGAATTATTTTTAGGTGATCAAAAGAAAGAAACATCCCGGTAGGTATGATAAAGAACTTTATTCGGTAATAACCATTATTTGCCCCCCAAATCAAACGTTGATGGAGATTTATTTAATTAAGTTCTTAAACAGGAGAGTATATGCTGACTTCAAAGTACTGAATATTTTCATAAGTAATGACGCCATATGTACGTAATGACGTCAGAAACATGACGTAAATTTAAGTTTTTTATTAATTTTACAGAAAAATGTACATATTTCGTCGATATTTTGAGTAAAAGTCACCGACCGCATGTGTGTTCAGGATCAATATTTTGATATAATGTGTGGTGATGATATCAATGAAATATGTCCATTTTGACCTCTTTCTAAAAAATGATATAAAATCGGACTAGTTCATGACGTCATAAAATCAAAAATTGTGAATACACTGCTTTGACACTTTAATATTTTCTGTTAATTTATATTTCTCATACAATTTATTGAATTCAGCACATTTCAGGAAGTTTTCAAAATTTGACTTTTGAGGGGGCAAATATATGCACTATACCGCATATAGTTCTTTAAAATATTAACGGCAATTATACTTTGAGTTAAGTAAACAAAAGTCCTTAGAAATTAAGAACGTTTTACACGAAAGGCTATTAAAACAAATACATCAGGTCTATGCAACCACTATGCTCTGAACAAAGTAAGACGAATATTGTTGCTTAATTTTAAAAACATTTTTGAGTCAATTCTTTAGTATTGTAATTTATTTGGATTTTGAGATTTTTGTGATGATGTCAGTTTCGGAAAATAATCTTTTATAATACGAAATTAATTGGTAAATAAATATTCTGTTTAATATGTCGTTGCACGTTTCTATGAAGGGAGTACTGTTGTTGTATAAAAAAAAACACAGAACATGTTTTATTTTCATGTAAAAGTTTCAGAACAGACTCTTCATCATCCATTCAATTTCTTGTGTAAAGAGCTGGTCTCCTAGACTGTTAAGGTGTTGTCACTATTTCCAGTTCTATTTTTTTTTTCTCTGTGATAACTATATGAGGATTTGATTTTTTTTCTTTGAGATATTAGTAGTTGATTTCTTGATAATTCTACCGGAATGTAAATTAGGCAGGTCGATAGGTCGGGAGCTAGGGAGGCCTAATATGCATGCAAATCTCATGCGCATCTGTCTTTGTGTCTTACGCTAAGGAAGCCAAATATGCATGTAATTGTAAATCTCGTGTTTCGGCCTTTGTGTTTGACGCCAGTGGGCGAGGACTGTTGAAATTGGCATGGGAGTCTTCGTGTAATTTAAATATATGTCTACATTTTTAAAACCTAAATCTACAATTTTATTTCACAATGAAATGGAAATATAAGTAATCACTGTCTGGTTAGTATAGTATGCCACGGACATTAACGATAGTGGGACACATGGGATCATTTATGCATAATGGACTTATCCCATGTTTCCGACTACCGTTGATGCCCTGCCATACTATACTAACTACACTGTGATTCCTTAAGTATCATCAACATACCTTAAATATCAACTTCATGATAATTGCGTGTCGAATGATTTTTTAAATTAAAACACTGTTTTTGACAACCCATCAAATGCAATGAAAATTTTCTTATGAGCCGTAAATTTCAAAAAAATAATTTCAAATAATTTCAAATAAATTTCATGGCAAAAAAAAATAGCAAGAGTGAAACAAATGGAGTTAACGAACAGTATTCAAAATCAAAAGTCCAGAAACAATACAAAAAAGAAGCAGAGCAAACACGAACCTGAAAAACATCAGAGTTGAGATAGGTGCCATGGAGAAGTGAGCATCCCCTGCCGACGGGTCACAACCGCCATGTGCTCCTTGACATGTTTGGGAAATTACGGAAAAATCCATAGTCAATTCAGTGTATAGATGTAGGTAGTACATTTCAAAACATTGATAGTTATCAACATCGTTTTGAATCATAAATTGTTGAATACAAACACATACAGGTAACTGTTTTCATGTACCATTTATAATGTAAGTCAAGGACGCGACTATGAGATGCAAACTGTACAGAAACTGGAAGAACATAGCTATCAAGGATTTGATACGATTTGTACAGGTAAATTCAATTATAGGATATTTTAATTTAATGTAGCTTTGTTTGTTCGATCGTATAGTGATGATGCATTGTTTATTCTAAATTTTAGGAAGTACAGAAGTGATTAATAGGTACGTGTACAGGTATTTTATAATAAGAAAAAAATAATGATACTATTGCTCATATTTGAAAAGAAATTATTTCAAATGATGCATATGAAAGCATACTTTCAGTGCCGAATATTGTGAAATCGTACAAGCATCTTCGCAAGAAGAACGCGGAGTAACTAACAGAGCTGCAGAGAAGGAAGGTTAAAAATATACATTATAAAAGCTCGTATACTGTTTTTTATCGCTTTATATTTCATTTTGTGTTTATTGTTAGTCCATTATTTTTACACTGAACTTACGGCAGATTTTCCGTTATTTCCCAAACATGACAAGGTGCACATGGCGGGTGTAACCGGTAAGCAGAGGATGCTCACTCCTCCGTGGCACTTGATCCCACCTCTGTTGTTTTGGAGGTCCGTGTTTACTCTGCTCCTAATTTATATTGTTTTATGGACTTTGATGTTGAATACTATTCGTTATCTCCATATCTTTCTTAGATACTATTATTCCCCATAATTTAAATAAATTAATGATAGGATGCTTGTCTATGACATTCATAATTCAAATCTCTTTGTATTTTAGTGATTAAAAGCCATGATATTAATAATCATTATAGGTTAACAAATAAACTTCTTAAATCATTTTTGAAGAAAATATTGCATTATGAATGTTTTAAATCTTTTTATACCTGTTAGAAAAAAATTATAAACTTTTCTTCATTTTTTTTTCTTTTTGCTTAAAACACCTGGTTCTTCTTTAAAGGACAGCAACCTGTTTTCTCTGTTATTGTAAGAAAATTGAAATTTTGCCAAAAGCATATATTGAATCAGAGGTATGAGAGAAAATCCTATTAAAACGGGTATTCTATATATTCTGCAAGAAAATCATAATAGTTTTTAAATACATTTTTAAAACTTGTTTTTATTGAATTGTTTGTTTGTTTAATTCTTGTTAACTGTTGTAAATTTACTTACCTCGTCATTGGTCAATTTTCAAAATTATTTTGTTAAAACAGATTCTGATTGCACACATAAGTACTCTGAAGTTGACATCAAGAAGATGCTTGAGTTTCTGATTCTCAATATCTATGTGGTTTTTGGAGACCAGGTATTCCAACAATCTATTGGAATTCCCATGGGTACAAATTGCGCTCCATAATTAGCAGACTTATTTTTATATTCATATGAAGCAGAATTTATGCAAAATCTTATGTGTGAAAAGAAGAAAACACTTGCTGTGGCATTCAACTCGACATTTAGATATATCGACGACGTATTGTCAATTAATAATGATAATTTCCATTCCTATGTCGATACAATATATCCTGGTGAGCTTGAGATTAAAGATACAACAGAGTCTGACACTTCTGTTTCATATTTGGATATTTTACTTGAAAAGATGCTAATGGTAATCTAACAACCAAACTATATGATAAACGTGATGACTTTAACTTTTCTATCGTCAACTTCCCTTACTTATGCAGCAATATACCTTCATCACCTGCATACGGAGTATATATATATATATCTCAGTTGATTCGATATGCAAGAACATGCTCTAGGTATGAACAATTTCTAAAACGAGGTAAATTATTGACAAGCAAATTGATGAAATAAGAATATCAGCAGTCTCGTTTAAAGTCATTATTTCGTAAGTTCTATGGTCGATATAATGACCTTGTCAGCAAATACAATTTATCATTGAGTCATATGCTGACTGACGTTTTTCATACCAATTGTTAGTACATTATTTATACACTGAATTGACGATGGATTTTTTCCGTTATTTCCTGATCATGACAAGGAGCACACGGCGGGTGTGACCGGTCGGCAGGGGATGCTCACTCCTCCATGGCATCTGGTCCCACCTCTGTTGTTCCGGGGGTCCGTGTTTGCTCTGCTCTTATTTTGTAGTGTTTTATGGACTTTGAGATTGAATACTGTTCGTTATATCCATATCCTTCTTGTTTAATGTCCCTCTCGAGAATTTTCCCCACATTTGCCGGTTGAGATCTGCAAACTTTGACCTTTATTCGGCACTCAGGATCGTTAAGCCTTGGGGGATATTTCTTCGTACTAGCACCTACTGCAACATGGGACCTCGGTTTACACGGTCTCATCCGAAGGACCGGTCTCCACGTCCCACAGTGGGACTCGAACCCCCGATGTACATTAGAGGATTAACTCCTTACTCCGCCACTATAGAGCAAACACTATACCACTGCGACATGCGGTGATTTTATAACAAGAAGGATATGGAGATAACGAACAGTATTCGATCTCAAAGTCCATTAAACAATATACAAAAGTAAAGACAAACAACACCCATAAAAATATGAGAGGTATTATAATCTCAAGCCCTACACGTGTAATTCTATTTTTCAGAGCATTAATAAATGACACACTTGTGATTTGAAGAAAAAAAACAATTCAATAATGCATTCAAATCATACAGGCACCACTTTATAACAAACTGTACATCAACAAGGATAAATATGGGTTTCCACATATTCCAAGATATTTGCATGTTTTAAAATTTGTTCGAAAGTTTTACTGCACTCAGTTGATCTCTAAAAAAACCTGCTATTGTTATGAAATTGGTGTATAGTTCTTTACGTCTGTAGCAAATACATTGGTGATGTCTTTGATCTTTCACATCAAACGTTTTAGTGGCCGCAATAAGAATCATAACGGAATAACCTGACACCTCTTTCTAATAGTTCTCTTACTAGTTTAAAAGTAGGAGACACTAAAAAGCTGTGTCATGCCTGTTAAAGTGGAGAAAAGAATAAATGATATTAATTTCTGGTATATAAACTTCTTGACTCAGACAGTTGATCAGTGACCAGAATAGAGCCAAATCTGTTCAATTATTTGAGATAGTTTGGCAAGCCATAAGCCAAAGGTATAAATATTTGTCAGGAAGAAAAATACGTTAGGGGCCCGAATAGATCCGACCTGTCCTTAGTGCTTATGTATCTATTTTAATTGTATCATTTAAGAAGTTTAGGTAAACTTTTAATGTAATTAGCTAGTTTTTTTTATTCTTTCTCAACTTCTACCTATGACACGGATAATTTATAAATAATATAAATCTAATTAGTAATTGAGAAATTTGTTTACCATGTATTATTTTTAAACAAAATAAGCGTTAAGAACTCAATTACACATTACACTATCACCAGTCTTGCATCTCCCGCAAAAGGTGCGCAGACCTATCTTTGCAATACTAAATAGCATAGGTCTACACAAATATGAGCATGTGTTGTTTAACCATTCCGTCTTTTAAAAGAAATACACACAATTAATAACTAACATTCTCTCCAAGCGGAAATTGTATGAAATTTAAGAACATTATCATGAAAGTCATATAACTGGTGAAAAGAATGATCTATATAAACTGGGGATGCAGCTTACATAGGAATATGAATACTTCTATTTATAACATTTCTAGGGGAAAAGTTTGTTTTTTTTAATTTAACGTTACTTTTTGTTTCTTCCAAGTATTAGATACACATCGATGTTATAAACATTTGTTGCAATGGTGTTGCAAAATTTCGACTCCTCTTGCAGGATATGCAACTGTTTTAAATCCATTCTTTGAATATTTCTGATGCTAGTTTTTTTATTCTTCTCTTTTGTGAGGTACGCATATCTTGATGAATATCTTCCATTGCATATCCATATTCAACCTTCTTTTTGTCTTCTATTGACAAGTCTGGGAATTTGTTCTCGTAAAAACAACTAGGAGCACCGCCCCTTACGATGAGAACAACGCTTGGTCGTTTTTGTCTAAATATGACGCCAGGTGAACCAGACGACCCTCTGTCAAAGGTTGTATGGAATAAGATTTTTCTCGGTGGATCACGAAGTTCTCTGTAATAGTCGACACCATCAGGAAAATTGTCAACACTCCACTGACTTAGGTATTCAATGTATTTGTCAACATAATTATTTGGTTCAATAATTCCGGGATAAACTTCGCTGTCTTCCTTCATCTGAGCACCACCAGGATGACCAATAAGATGTACCTCTGAAGGAAACTGCTGAATCGTACTGAATGAAGACAAAGGTGGAGGAAACCCGACGTCTGCAAGGTGATGCCTCTTTAGTTCCAGAATAGCAACATCAAATCCATCGTGTACATAATGAACAGATTGTTCAAAGTTGAAAGTATTTTTTTCTTCACGGTCTTGAAGGTAAAGCTTCCTCTCAAATTGTATAAAGATTCTGGAGTGGTCCATCAATTTACGATGTTCTGCTATGTTAAAAAATATTTTTCAATCAATCATTCATTTTATATCAAATACAAATGCAAGCAAAATTGTTAAGGATAATTATAGACAAATTCTCAAATCAGATGTCACATGAGTTTTGTTTGAAAAGTTGATATAATTTGTTTGTAGGAAATCAGTACAAAGCATTGCTAGAAATCAATGGATATTGAAACAATTATGTGAATTGGCAGATACGTTGTAACAGAGTTGAGTAACAAAACAAAAAGCATGCAGATTATACAACTATTAATATCGGAACGTGCAAAACATTTATTTTAATGAAAAAAATTAATGTAAATCACAATAATATTATTCAAAACATTTGAACTTCATGCCTTTAAAAACAAATGCCATCCTGTTTAAACCCTGTTCTATTCAAAGCTTGCCGTAACGTTCAGAGCGGTAGTATATTGACTATGAGGAAAGTAAGCCAAATTTTTGAAAGGTGTTAAAATAAAATAATAATATTATTATATACCACTATATATACATTGCTACAGAAAGTTCCAAAAAAAATTAAAAAACAGGCATTGATTAAAGAAAAGCAATCTCAAAAATACTGATAACGATTCTTTTTGAAAATAGTTTTTCAACAATATAATCCAACTTTTAAGATGTTACGGAATATCTATGATACAGATGCAAAATAGCGAGTTCTAAATATAAATTGTGTACCTTTAATTGTGCTCTGCACTACGTGTAAACAAGTCATAATGTATTTGCCTCCCACACGGAATCCTGTTCCTGCAGGATGACCGTCGATGTAAATCATCCCAACACTTCTGCTGACTTCGGCTTTAAGCTCACTTGTCATGACATCTCTCTGCAACGTTGTCTTGGAAAAGGGATACAGTGGTCCCGTCTTTGATAATTTCGTCTTCGGCTATATGAAATGTAATATTATATAATTGAAAATTAAAATAAAAGACAAAGGGTTGTCTGCCTTATTTGATTTACTTAAAAGTGAAGATTACAAACAGAGATCGATCTATAAAATCTATAAATAAATAAATATGTGAAAGGAAAACATAACACACGTATCCTTGAAAATTCAAAATATTGGGTCAGGTGCCTAGAAGGAGTAAGTATCCTCTTTGATTGGTCACATCCGCCATGTGTATTGATGAGATAAATGAGTTTTACCTTGTCAATTCATTAAAGAAATAAGTCGTTTGTTTTAATTCTGAATTTGACATGAAATATATGGAGATAACGAACAGCATTCTAAACTTAGGAGCAGAGCAAACACGGACCTCCAAACATCAAAAGGTGCCATGGAGGAGTGAGCAAATCTATTGACAGGTCACATCCACCTTGAAATGATCGGGGGAAATGGAAAATCTTACTATAATTCAGTATATTTATAAAGGCCTAAAATTTAGTATCGTCAGTCAGCATTTGACTAAAAAATAAATTGTATTTACTGACAAAATCATTGTATCGACTATAGAACTTAGAGAATGAAGACTTTAAACGAGACTGGTGATATTCTTGTTTCAGCATGCTAGACAAAGTTAAAATATTTCCTTGGTTCACTCTATTATATGCAATGCAGAATTCCCCTTAAAGTTTGTGAAATGGATGGTCTGAATTTTATAAAATTTTGTCTTATATCATAAATCATTCAAATATATTGAATTGTATAAATGTAAGTGAACACACGTTTATTATTTTATTCACGAATTGTAAAGAGAAAGTTTACACAATAACCTCAGAATGTGTTGAAACATTTGAACGATTCCGTTTCTGCGCTGACCTCTTTGTCTGTGAATGGAACTGTGAGGGCTTTGGTTCCTCCTTGAAAAAGAGATAGAAAAAGACATATTAGCTATGTTAAATATCAGAGATTTCTTCTCTATTTTTTCAATCATGCTTTTTGGATAACATTATTTATAACGCAGCACAGTTAAGGTTACAAAAAGGAGGCGGAGCCTAATTTGTACGGGAAAATTGACTATGACATCATACACAATATACGTCATACAACATCTCTTAAAAATACCACAAAATGAGTTTATCTGCTAATTTCACTAGTAAGAAATCATCAAACGACATAAAAACTTACTACAGCGTGTCGTTTTGTCGTTAGTTAAATCCCACATAACAAGTTATAAACAAGTCACTGATCGCAATACACTTGTCAATATGACGTCATTTCTTACAACGTGACGTAGTTTGTATGCAGTGAGAGACAGATTGAGCAATATTTTCTCAACAAAATATGTATTCTCTAATTAAATAAATCACTATTTACAGATATTATATGGGACAATAACTTGAATTTAATGTCTTCTTTACTATTATATTAATATATTTTCTGTGCATTACGTATTTAATTGACACTGCCATATAATTGTATAAGTACCTCGGAGGGTAATGTGGGAGGTCTTAATAAATCGATCTAGTGCAAGGGCATACACTCTATGGATCAAAGTAAGCTTTTACATTTCAACTACAGAACTATTAAGGTACTAGGTATCTGGAAAGTGCTGCAATCCTGATGAAATCTTAAAAATAATTTTATATTATCAATATTTCATGCCGCTGACCAGCAAAAAATATAACGTTCGGTCATGTACAAGTATAATTTTAACAATGAAATTGCAGAATTTGAAAGGATCGCAACTTTTTAAATACAATGCGTGTTGAAAATAATGTACAACTTGGAAATTTAATTTAGTTATGCCCTTGCACTAGTGACATTTATATGTAACATCAGTACTTCAAGTCAATGTGCTTAAATCGCGTGACTGCTGCATCACGTGACTAGTCTAAATATAAAATATAATCGTCTTCGATATGAAGCTATTAATCATAATTACAATTATCCGATATAAATAATGTACTAAAGATAATCGCCATCCCGATTACGAATACATTTTTAAATACAAAATTTAGTCGATATTTCCATTGCGCATCTTAACTGTATTGCGAAACATTGTTATGTGTCATGGATTATTAAAGCCATCATCTTAATTAAAGATTGAAAGGAGAAGGGTGGGGCATATTGATTATACAGAAAATCATTTTATATATACTAATAGTATAGCTGATAATAAGTATTCCTGCTGAAATCTTCAAAACATATTTCACATTAACACCAGAAACTATTATCATGTAAGTTCATACTACTTTCTCTATTACCTGTTTCCAGAATCGCAGGATACTGGGAATGTTTATTTCGTGTTTTTCACCGATGTGACAGTGCATGCATTGGACTGTTTTATATTCTATTTCGCACATTTCACTCTCAGGAATAAATGACATATCCTTTTCATTGCATATAATGTTTTGACATTTGAAGCCTCTCTGAAAATTCTTTTTTTCAGCAAAAGTCTTCGTGAGTTCTGATAGTCCATATTCAATGTCATTTCCGATTTTATGACATACTTCACATTCTATTGGTAAAGGAGCAATGCGCATGACTTGCAGCTGTATGTCATCATGACATATACCAAGAACAACTGTGTGATGTTGATGTTCAAACACTGCTGCTGTGTGATAGAGACATTGACTGCCTTTATCACAGGCAACACGCCATCCGAGGAAACTCATGCAATAGGCCACGAGCCTATAAAACACAAACGTGGCAAAGGAGTTGAATCGAAAACACAAAATCGACGAATAACTCCACTTCTCGTCAAAGATGTCTTTTTTAAAGGGTTTCTTGTTCATGCATGGGACATACCAACACATTGCAGTTTTCTTCTCACTTATCACGACAAGCATTCGAAGCCTCTCCATAAAGGACATAAGCTCAACTTTGTATTTAACATACAATGGTTCCTCTTTCCAAAGAGCTTCGAGAAGTGTATCCTTTAGTTCCCCAGTCTCGTTGAAACATTTCCATTCTTTTACATATATTCTTTTACAATCTTTGGTGACGTGGTTTTTATCAGCAATAATTCTGCTGAATGCATTAGAGAACCATTGTATTCCAAGAATAACATGCTCGTTTAGTCCATCTTCATCAAAATATAGAAAAATTCCATGTACATGATAAAATAGTAAAAAATCTAAAATTTCTTCGTTTGTTTTCAATTGATATTTTTCGGGGATTTCAGAATTGACTTTCTTGATTTCCTCAGTGGACAGCAGCGGCTGTTTTAATTTTTTCAAATAATGTTCAAGCAAAGCCCATGAAGAAGGAACTTCGATTTTTGTGTCTAATTTGCGTGATACTATGTCTGCAATTGAACATTTTATGGACTGTAGAGAATTCTTACATCCTTTGTTCATTTCTTTTTGTCCAATTGCAAATTCGTTTCCATTAATAGACTTGTAAAGCCATGCTTTGTCCTCTTCTGGTACAGCAAACCAAAAGCTCTCAAAAAACTTTTCGATTTCCTGAATTAAATAAGAAAAACTTTATTTATCAAGCTTATTTCAAATCTTTTTTACTTAATTCTATACTTTACTTAGATATACTCAACTTAAAAAAAGTATTTAAAAAAAAATTGTACATAAAATCTAAGAGAATAGACACTCTCGGAAGATATCTAACATTGCTTTCTGTATCTGTTTTGTAAGATCAAGCCATTAACATGACAAAACAAGAAGTCTGTGAGCCAATGCTTACTTGTAATACCACACTCTGATTTGAATATACACTATCATATTAATATACACTAGTTAAGTTACGGAAAGATGCACAGATAAATAAGAAGTTGACATCAGATTCATATAAAAATAAATCCAACAATATGACATGCTTCTTTAAAGTATGTGATAGAATTTCAAGCATCTGCAATGAGTAGTTGCTGAGAAAAATGCACTAAGATTTAGGTTCTGTATGACACAGACAGACGCACGGATAATCAGGAAGTTGACTTCAGAAGTGTACAAAAAATATCCCACGTTATGGCATACACTGGAGAACATTGTATTATAATGTCAAGCATTTGCAATAAGAAGTTGCTGAGAAAACTGCAACAAACATGTGTTATGTATGATACGTACAGATGCACGAATAAACAGGAAGTTGACATTAAAAGTGAGCAACATGAGTTCCATGGGCCACATCGCTCACCTGAGCAACTAGCTTGGTAAATCCAAAAATCAGTTCAGTATTGAAAATTTTCAATATATTATTAAAGTGAGTTCCAGGAAAGAGGGGGTAGGGATTTGAACAAACTCATATCTGCATTTCCTAAATAAGAATGCTTTTGAATTAATATGACACATAATGATTTTGTTGTTTATTGTTATGATTCATTTTAGTGATGCTATCGGATTGATGATCAATCATGGGTTTATGAAGAATTTTAGGGATTGTTTTCATGCATCAATATGTAAAACTCTGATACCCCTTTTTGGTCCCAGTATGATTTGAAAAAACTTGAATCTATACTACCCAAGGATGCTTCCATATAACTATGACCAATCACCACTTTGCTGTCGTCAAGAAGAAGAATTTTAAAGATTTTTTTCTACGAAATCATACTTTGACAACCTTGTGCCCCCTATCCCCGATGGTCGTTATTTGAACAAAAGGCCCGGAGGACATATTGCTCACCAAAGATTGTGGCAAAAAATCAGTTTAATATAAAAAAAAAAACTTCAATGCATGAGTTGTCCCAACCTAATTCCTTTAGGGAAGAATGGGTAAGGGGGAAGGGGTTCAATTTGAACAAACTTGAATCTACACACACTATCTGAAAATGCTTCCAAATAAAATGAGAAACCATGGCTTTGCTGTTCTTGATAATATGTTTCCTATATATTCCTATGTTAAACTTTGATTATCCATTGTAGCTCCACCCTACCAAGGAGAGGGGGGTAACAAACTTGAATCTACAATACCTGTTGGTGCTTTCTTATAAATATTTACAATCACGGTTTTGGTGTTCTTGAGAAGAAAATATTTGAAGATTGTTTCTCCTATTATAAACTTTCATCGTCCATTGTGACTCCACCCTATCAACAAGGGCCAAGATTTAAACAAACTTGAAGTACACTACCTGTGGAATCTTTAACATAAATTTGACCAATTATGGCTTTGATGTTCTTAAGAAGAAGATTTTTTAGACACTTTTTCCCTACAAATTCCTATGTAAAACTTTTATCGTCATTTGTGGGCCCACCCCTTCCCCAGGTGTCATATTTTGAACAAACCACCTTCACCACTGGATGCTTCCATATAAATTTCACCAATCATAGCTTTAATTTTCTTTAGAAGAAGAGTTTTAAAGATTTTTCCTATATATTCTTATGTGAAACTTTGATCATCTATTGTAGCCCCTTCCTAACCCAGGGGGTCATGTTTTGAACAAACTTAAATGTACACCACCTGAGGATGCTTCCAAAGAAATATCACCAATCATGGCTTTGCTGTCTTGACAAGACTACTTTAAGGAGGAATGCCACACCAATTTTTTATTTTATAGATCTCTGAGTCAACCTTTTTAAACAATGGTATCAGCATTGAAAGGCCGAAATTAGCTCTTAATTATTTTATATGAATTTTTTTTGTATTTTTTCAAAGAAAACGAAAAAAATTAATTACATCCAAATTAGATGCTTTCTTGTATAATTTTTGCTGTAAACGCATGCATCACATGAATACCTAAAAAAATATGTAAAGAAAGTCTGGTTAGACTCTTTAATTTTTTTAATAAAAAATTATTTATTAAAATAAAAACACATAATTTGTGAATATTTTTTAAACATGTGGTTAAAATCTTCTTAAAACTAGCCACAACTGGGCAGAGCATGTTCATTAATCATATTTATAAAAGAAATTGAAACGAAATAGCCAAATTTAAGTGAGAAATTATTTTTTTTATTTTGACCAATCCCGATCAAAATTAAACCGATCCCGACCATAATTGTATGATTATTGGAAATAAATAACATTTTTCTGAGAAATCTTTTTTACTTAATTCTATACTTTACTTAGATATACTCAACTTAAAAAAAGTATTTTAAAAAATTTGTACGTAAAATTTAAGAGAACAGACACTCTCTGAAGATATCTATCTGTATTTCGTTTTGTACGATCAAACAATTAACATGCCAGAACAAAAAGTCTGTGAGCCAATGCTCACTAGTAATACCCCACTCTGATGTAAATATACACTATCATGTTAATATACACAAGTTCAGTTTCGGGAAGATGCACAGATAAATAAGAAGTTGACATAAGATTCATATAAAAATAAATCCAACCATATGACATGCCACAACAAAGTATGTGCTAGAATTTCAAGCAGCTGCAATGAGTAGTTGCTGAGAAAACTGAAATAAGATTTAGGTTCTGTATGATACAGATCGACGCTTGGATATACAGGTAGTTGACATCAGAAGTGTAAAAAAATAAATCCCACTTTATGGCATACATTAGAGAACTTCGTGTTAAAACAAACACAACATGTACAACGACGACAAACAACGGACAAAATTTTTATCAGAATATCTTACTTGAGCCTTTGTCATGGGGGTAAATAGTTTGTGGCATGTCCGTCAGTCTCTCTGTCACTCTGTCTAGCTGTCTGTTTGTCTACTTGTCTGCAAAAACTTTAACCTTGCCCATAAATTTTCATATAGTGGAGCTATAGCTTTCATATTTCAAACGTGTATTCCTTGTGACCAAGAACTTTGAACTTTTTGCCTTGACATTGGAGTTTGACCTACTTTTAAAAAGCAAACCTTGACGTTAAACTTTTAAAGGGTTATGACTAGTGCTTTCATACTTGATATATTTTTATTTTTGTGACAAGTCCTTGCATTTCATAGCAAGACTTTTGACCCTTTGACCTTGACCTTAAAATTTGACCTACTTTAAGAAATTTTTAACCTGGACCATAACTTCTGAATGGTAAGGGCTAAACACCTGCATACAAAGTATATACCGGTATATCTCAGTTGATTCGATACGCAAGAGCATGCTCTACGTATGAACAGTTTCCAAAACGAGGTAAATTATTGACAAGCAAGTTGATGAAACAAGAATATCAGCAGTCTCGTTTAAAGTCATCATTTCGTAAGTTCTATGGTCGATACAATGACCTTGTCAGCAAATATAATTTATTACTGAGTCAAATGCTGACTGACGTTTTTCATACTTATTGTTAGTCCATTATTTATACACTAAATTGATGACAATTTTTTTCACGATCATTACAAGGACCACACGGCGGGTGTGACCGGTCGGCAGGGGATGCTCACTCCTCCCTGGCACCTGATCGCATCTCTGATGTTTCGGGGGTCCGTGTCTGTTCTGCTCTTATTTATTTTGCATTGTTTTATGGACTTTGAGAATGAATAATGTTCGTTATCTCTGTATCCTTCATTTAAATTACCTTGACCTTTTGACCTTGCAGATTTCCGTACTTATGAAAAAAAATTAACCTTGGCCATCACTTTTGAAAGCTAGGGGCAAGTGATCTCATACTTCATTTATGTTATCCTTGTGAGAAGACCCCTTATTGGATACCATGTACCTTGACCATTTGACCATGACCTTGCAGTTTGACCTACTTTTAAAAAGCAAAATTTGACCATTTCTTTTAAAGGGTTAGGGCTAATGCTTTCACACTTGACAGATTTAATCCTTTTGAATGGGCCTTTCATTTGATAGACCTTTGACCTTGACCTAGGAGTTTGAACTTTTTTTTGAAAATGTTAAATCTTTGCCATAACATGACGGTAAGTACTAGGGCTTCTATACTTTACATATGTATTTTTTATGGCAAGACCCTTGACCTTGAAGATTTCCGTGTGCTTATGAAAACTTCAACTTTGGCCTATTCAAATTCACAATTGTATTTCCATTAAGAATATCCTACTTTTGGTACCAAAATATTAAATATTAAATTTGCATTTAAGAAAAGTTTAATCTTTATCATGTTCTCATACGGAGGCATCAGTGTTTCACAAACACATCTTGTTTCTAACAAATAATTCAATCAGAGTGAAATCAAATGCTCCGGACTACCGTAATTTATCACGGAATCAATAATGTTGACTTGTGTTGGCACTGTGAGATGCTTAGGGATCCTGTATATACCTGGTAAGACATCTGAAAATTTTACACTGGTGTAGCAACAGCACTTAATTTTTAAAAGAATCGAATAAGACAAAAGACAGGGTGAAATCTGTTATGTTATAATGAATACAAATAGAGAAGAGTAAATGCGCGCTTCCCGATCTTTTCACATGCGAAAATATATCCGGCTAATGTGACGTAAATTTGACGTAGCGATGCATCTCCAGTCTTATAGACATATAGATGTTTACTTTTTCAACAGATTTTATCTAATTATCCTATGAATAAGAAATTTGGCATAATTGTTTTATTTGTTCTTTTCATAATTTTCATGAATTCATGAATTTTCATAAATTTATTTCTGCCTTTTATGGAGTTAAAGTAAATGTATAAATAGCCCTCGTAGATTCCTAAATATACACGAGCAATAATTTTTTGCGTAACTTCTCGTTAAGCATCACTCGCAAATAAAATTCCTCGCTTTCATTTTTTTTTTGGTACTGAAAAGCATATAAAATCTCTTCAGCAACCATCCACTTGTGAATTATATTTTACTCGCGATTGGACCTCAAAGAGGAATTTCGCTAAATTTTTAAAGTTACATTAGCAAATAATAATAAAGAAACACAATACAACATTTCATGACTTACGTCCTTTGTTTTGCCCTCTGCGTGTGTAGCTACAAGAAGTACCGTAGCACCAGAACCACCGAACGATTTTATGGAGTTGACCCAGAATCGAAGATAGTCTATGAAAAATATAAGGGAGGTAAACATTTATACACACTCAAAGCATATTTAAACTAATGTGTCTTAATGAATAAGGCGAGTATCACGAACAAGGAATGGTCTTAAAAATTCTACAACAATATTACAATTCTTTGACCACTGCGTACAACACAGACCCATAGAAACTCCAAAGAGTAAGCATCTGTTCTTGAACAGTCGCATCCGCTATGACCCGGGCTATAAATTTATCAGCTCGACGAAATATTTTGTAGTCAGTGTGAAAACATAAGCTGGTTGGCAGGAAACACGACGGCCAAAATACGGCCAAATAATGCGTTTATTTTGTAAAGGTCATTCTCTCACAGAAATTGCAAAATATTGGCTTTAAATAAGGTTATTGTTTTTGTAATGCATTTGTTACCCATAGAAAAAACTGCATACTAGTATTTATTGCGCACAAAATTTTGCGCTTGTATTGATTCTCCAAAATTCTAATCTCAATTGCAAAAAGCTAGATTATATTATAAGAAAAATTTTATTTCCTCGCGAAGTTATTGATGAAATTTATTATGATTTTTTGGTTGCCCTCTCCCGACCGATTTGCTAAAAATTAGACTCAGAACTTTTTCTGACCTCCAGGAAACGATCATTTTTTTATGCATTTCAGAAAATAAATTGTGAATATTCGGAAATGGTTTGAAGGTTCACTAAGAAAAGGATAATCTATGGATTCAGATTTTGAATTCTAAGTCGGTTGAGGGAAAGCATAACAAAGAAACTTATTGACAAACGTGCTGATTTAAACTTTCCCATTCTCATCTTTCCGATGATAACGTCCAAAGGGAATTTGATTTTCATAGGCAAAGAAATCCTCATGTCTCCCAAACATTCATGCAATAAACTGTTTATTATTCCGAATCAAGCACAAAGCAGGAAATCTAAAGATCTTATGATGAAAGTAAACATTTTATTAGAACATTATGAAACAGATTAGTTACGCTACTAGCCGCACTACATTAAAAAATAATTCGTGACAAATCCGTGAAATTTATACACTGGTCACATTCAAACTCCGCCCAAGAAAATATGTCTTTTAATATTTACAGTCAATAAACGATATGAACAAATACCATAAGGTCATCTCATTGTGACGTCACATTCGTGAAACACTAGGTTTTGTTGCAAGACAAACACGACGGTAACGCGACTGCCTTGGTCAATTAGATTTTATTTTACCAGTTATTTATATGAAATAGAAAAAAATAAACTCTTGTTGCTTGAATATGGAATTTATATCCCTCAGCTAATTTGATACACAAGAGAATATTCTTTGTACGAACACTTTTCACAGCGAGGCAAGAAACAAGAATAACAATAGTCTCGCTTGAAGTAATCATTTTGCAAGTTTTTTAGTCAATACAATAACCTTACCATCCAAATCAATGTAACATTAACGTTACACTGACGCTTGCCATTAGTTACACCCTGAAATTTTTAGGGATTTTCCCTTTACCCAATCATGACAAAGAGTACAAGGCAAGTGTGACTGGTCTACAAGGGATGCTTACTCTTCCGGTTTGGGGGTACTTGTTTGCTCGTTTTATATCGAACAAATTACGTTGAAATTAAAAACATTTGCTTAGATTGTAAAAAACAAACCTTTGTTAGTCCACGTAGAAAAGACAGAACCCTTTCGCTCGTCTTTTTCATTGCTAACGACATCCTCAAATTCTTTAGTCATATCCAACACTAGAGTATAAAAAGCCTCTGACCTCATGTAAATTTGATGACATGCATAATAAGCAAATTGTCCAGCAAAATCTACCAGGCTGACACTTGTTTCGTTTTCCCTTTCATCCAATATGTCTTTAAGATCTATTGCTAATGGTTTAGTATTTGCTCGACACTCATTGGCATTGTCAGCACCATCCTCTAAATCCATTGAATGGAGATCTGCCTCTTGATTAAAACTAAATCTTTCTTCTTTCCTCTTAAAAGCGGTGGATTTTGGAACACAAATCAATTGTTTGCTTTGTGTGTGTTCTTTGTCAGCTACAATGATTTGCAATCATGAAAACATTATGAATTTGAAGACATAAACTCAATCGGTAAAAATAAATCATTACCTCTAAGGGTTCCATCTTTTACATTGAATACTAGGGATGTCAAAATTGTCAATAATTGATATTCGAATATTCGATAGGAGTATTCGAATATATTCGAATATTCGATAAAATAAATACATTTTGCATTATAAAATATAAAGCTTCACTCTTCTGTCAAGCAGTATAGGTTTTATGCCATTATTTTAGAATAAAATCTTGTGTAGAGTTTGGAAAATGCACTACAATTATTTATATTTTTTAAAATTATTTAATAGCATACATCTAAAATGTAGTGATTGATTTTTGAAAATTCAAAAGATTCTTTAATATATCCCAGATTAATTGATCGTCTTACTAAAGTCTACACTTTGTATGACAACTCCTACAAATTTATACTAAGCAGAACAATTATCTAATGGTGAAATATCAAAAGCAATTACCTTTTGCTATTCATAATTTCCCGATAATGATTTTTAATGATATTTAGTACATAAACAAGAAGTATGTATGTATGTTTACTGTAAAACTGGGTCCTTCAACAATACAAGCTGATTGTTAGTACTGAAAACTATTATACCACTAATTAATTTAACAAATAAATAAATTACTCTAATAGATACATTCTTCACACCTTTTAGGTATTCCAAGAGGAGTGTTTTGTTTTTAATTTTGTACAAACTTGATTCAATTTCTATTAAAACTTGCAAAGTTGTATACTTAAAAACGAATATTCGAATCACAAATTTATATTCGAATATCAACTCATCGAATGAATATTCGAATATTCGAATATTCGTTGACATCCCTATTGAATACATATTCGTAGATTTGAAGTCCTCTTGTTGACTTTATTTCGTTTATTTCCTGAGGAGCTCTTCCCATTAGTCTGTAAAGGAGTGTTGTTTTACCAGCACCAGCACATCCGACAACAATCCCCCGTGCATGACGAACTGTTATTTTTCCAGAGATCATGTACTGCAAAACTCGTTGTGTTGCTAAGATATCTGTTTTAAACAAAAAAAATGCATTTCAAGTGAAACTTTTTATTTTGATGTTCAAATGAACATTTTTATTTAATTAAATGATATGTTATATTTTGCTTCAATATTCAGCAAACCATAAGCTAATGTTGACACTTGCAGTGGCCTTCAACTCGACATTTAGATCGATCGACGACGCATTATCAATTACAGATTGTAACGTCCATTCCTATGTCGATACAATATATCCTGTTGAGCTTGAGAAAAAAGATACCACAGAATCTGACACATCTGTTTAATTATTGGATATTTTACTGGAGAAAGACATTAATGACACAACCAGCTCTATGATAAGCGTGATGACTTTAACTTTTGTATAGTCAACTTCTCTTACTTATGCAGCAATAAACCTTCATCAATATACCTTCATCATCTGCATACGGAGTTTATTAGCCAATATTCATTTAAGTTAAATTATTCATGGCAATTCTGTAATATCATCTTGTAGGCCCTATATGGTAGTTATTATGAAAAAGATAAAAACATTCAATCTTTTGAAATGCAAGTAGGGGTCGCACGATTGGCAACAGTTATTTTTTTATTCTCTCACATTTCCAGATTGTACAATGAAATTGTTTACATTCAAAACATGCTTTTTGTTCTTCTACCACGTATTTCATTTCATACAATTAATACAATTCCTCTTTGGTAAATATTAATACTTGTTCATTTCGAAAAGCTGACATTTGTGTATTATATGTATCTTCACTGCGAAAGCTTTATATAAAAAGAAGTTAACAAAGAGGAGGGTGTGGCGGTGGGTAAACACAAAAAAGTGAAGTCGGGGAACAGTATTTAGTATTTTGACATATTTGTATTTTGAATATAAATTTGGAAAAATAAATACATTATAGGATACTAGTTTCACAAAGATTTCACAAAGATTTTTCCAGTACTTTTCATATTCTGAAAATTTGCAATTTCATAGCCTTTGCAACTAGAATTCTATCTACAAAATGTTTCTCTCGCATTGCAAAACTTAATTTAGGCATATTTTTAAACCTACTGGCAAAAATAAATTGTTTTACAGCAAGTATTATTATTGTGGAGTCAGAATATGTATAATTGTATTGCCATTGTAATATAAATTTAAGTATTTAATTGTAGTCACCATTAATGCTATCGATTCATCGAAGTTTGTGATCAGCTGATTTCGTAGTTTTGTATTTTGTGTTGTTATACGACCCCTCAGTTAACATGTTCTCGATGTTTTGCTATAAAAGGTTTACATTAATGTTAATGACTTGTAGGGGTGTGCAATATTACCGGTATATCGGTATATTGCGGTATTATCCACCACGATAATATATCGCGATATGAAAATCAGATACCGGTATTTCACGATATTTATAAAAATATATAAAAACCTCATTTATTGTAGAAACTGTTAAATAAAACTGGAAACTTCTAAGTCTTTTTCTTTCTCGTTGAAAGAATTCTTCGTCAGTTTCGTTCGGGAGAGAGAAAGAGAGAGGAGAGAGAGAGAGGGGGGTGGAAGCTTTGAATTCACTGTTGCAGTTTTGAATATCTTACTTTGAAATAAAAGTACTAATTAATAAGACTTTAAAATAAAATTTATAAGGAAGAAAATATATAAAACATTTTTACAGGGATTCTCACATTGAATCTACACGATCGACATCGCGGTGTATTACATATGTACATATTACAAGTAAATGGTCATCCATGTTTTCACTTGTAGCAGTGTTGTTTTAATTATTTTTAATAACTTTCATGCCATTTTAAACACCTTATGCTATAGCAGGAGCATGTATAATATATTAAAACAGGCCATTTCCTGATTGTACGTCTTGATGTGAAATTAGGTCGGGTTAGACTAAATTACCAAAACGCACGAAAACAGGTCACAATTTCTTTCTGGTTTTTTAAATTTTATTTTGTAACCACACGAAAATTATTTTCATATAGGCCTAATCTGTATATTGTTTTAATCTTTAATAACATTTTATGTTACTTCATTAACCCCCCCCCCAAAAAAAAAGAATGCAATGAAAAAAGATTATATAATCTGTAAAAAATTTTATTTCAATGTGAAAATTCTCCAAGAGAGTTCATCTTCTTTTACTATTTTACCTGGAATTTGATTAAAAGTAAAGTGCTAATTTGGTGTGCAATCAATGTCTTATCCCTCCTCCCGCTTTTAAACTTAAAGATAGATTCAAATAGTCTTTGAACTTGACAGCATTTCAAACATTCTGCTCAAATTTATTAATGATAATTAATCTACAATATATTGCAATATATTGCAATATTCAAAGTAAAATATTGCAATATATCGCAATATGGATTTCCTTCGCAATACCCAACTCTAATGACTTGATGCATTGTTGTTCACAGCCTATTTTCTTTGTATAAGTTATTGTTAAACTGTTATTGCAAGGGTATTGTTTTTAAGTATTGAAATGTCATATAAAATAATAAAGTGTAATTGTTCTATTTACCTTCGGCACATGTAGGTGGCCATTTTACCAGAACTAGTGTATGGCGTTAAAGTAGTACTTTATGCATTTGACCCCAGGCCACTGTCTAGTTTCGTCTGGCGGTCTATTTGAATGTATATTGCTATTTTCTTCCGGATTTTGACATTTATCTTTTGTAGTAGAATTATTATTTTGATGCTATTTTATTTGTGGTTAAAGTTGTATTTATTATTTTATTTGGAAGCACCGGAGTGCCTCCGTGGTTTCCAATCTTGCGCAGTGTGTTACTCCGGTGGATTAAATTGTATATATATAAAAAATACAAGGGACATTCGTTTAAATGAACTAAACTTGTTAAACAGAAATATCCAGTTCAGCTTATGGATGATGAAATACTTAAAGCCAAGGAACATGATAGATCGGAATTACTTTTAGCCAAAGGACGTGAAGTTAACGAGAATATTATTCCCTTTGTGCACATAATCCCCGGAACCAGAACATCAACCCCATTGTTCACCAACTGAACACTATTCTCAGAGAGGACGAAACTACAAGGACAATTTATAAAGACGTAAAATTTATCTCAAGTAGACGTCAACCAAAGAACCTGAAAAGACTCCTATGTAATTCTAATTTTAAAGGAACTTATTCAGTGACTAAATGTGGAAATCCCCGATGCGGAACCTGTGATTTTATAACTGAAGGATCTTGTTATAACTTAAACGGCAGAAAATTTACAGTGAACGCCAGTATGTCGTGTGATACACAAAATGTTTTATATGTGATAACCTGTACAGGGTGTAGTGAATTTTACATAGATGAGACCAGTAACACCCTCCGTACCAGGGTTCGTACCCACAAGCAACAGATTAACACTCCAGAGTATAGACAAATACCATTAAGTGAACATTTAGACGTGTGCGGACAAAAGAAATTTATGATATTTCCGTTTTATAAAGTAGCAGGAGGAAATGATATTTGTAGACGCCAAAAAAAAAGGTAAACCATGCACAGTTGGGAGGGGGGGGGGGGAGTCGGATCCCCCTAAATTTGTAGAATTTTTAAATGTATACATGTAAACTGAAGGAAATAAAAAATGCCAATATGGATATAAAGTTTTTGATTGCTTATTTTCTATTATGTGTATAGAAGATTTTTTATATGGAATATTTATCACACTAATGATGATTGTATGAGTTTGTATAAGCCAGACCTCATAATTTTTTCATTTCACATGCTGACTACTATCATTTAGTGAAAACTTAAGTATTTGTATAATTTTCTCAAAGAATTGCTTCTTTTTCGCTTTTGTGGTAATGCATATTTGAAAGATAAACAAACATTTTATGAACAATTTATCTCAATTACTGTGTACAATAAGTATAAAAAACGTCAGTCCGCATTTGAAATTTTGATACAAGAACTTATGTATTAAATATGTAACTTAATTGGTTTTGTAAAATTAAGAATATACTAAGACTTTTTATGAATCCCGGACCTGAATCCACCTTTTGAATTCCCAGGTTCGTTTTACCTGTCCTAAATATCTTAGATCAAAATAAAACAGATGTGACATTATTTAGATGATGTCTCTACTATCTAACTTTTTCATCTAAAAAAGGATAGAATTTGAGAAATGGGATTTAAAGAATATTCGGTTTTGTTGTAAACGTTGTCATTATTAGAAATCATAACAAAAAATCGTGAAGAAATTATCTCAATTAACGAGGAAACAATTCAACGTGTACATGGGTGCTTTTTACTATCTATACAATAAGAAAAAAAACATATTTTTCAATTTCAATTCAAACCATGACAATAATAAATGAATTTTTGTGTTCAGGAAATGATATATTAACTAAATAGTCTAAATAAAACGTTGACAACTTCACAACTTATATGGAGGTTTTCAGTACAATTTGGAAAATCTTGTTTGTATGTCATAAAGCACAAATTCTATCAATTTTTGATAAAATCATTGAGTAAACACCATGTATTGAAATTGCTTATTGAACAATTAGTGTTTAATTTTCCCTACTTTTTCTGTTAGCAAACAATAAGAAAAAAACTCAAGTCATTACCATTAAACTTCGGTAAAAAGGCATATGAATGTGTTGTCTTTTCTTCTTTTATACAATATGAAAGAAAATGAAACAAAATCATACCATTTAAAACACTTTTTAAGAATATTAACACAAATATCAATTCAAATTAATATATTTAACTTTATGCATAGTCAAAATAAAAAAAGGGTGAAGAATTTATTTAAATTACTGATGAAAATAATTATCATACCTGAGTATTCCGCGGATTCATGTAAACTTTCTGTCCGATAAGAAAACAAAAGAGATATTTATTAATTTTAATTAAGGTCTTCCGCTCAGGCGGAAGACCTTCTACTGATTCTGATGGTTAAGATTATTCCCTATTATTCTTTTTTTTCTAGACGCCAACTTTGAGACCTCGTAACTCGCTCATTTCTGAACGGATTTCGCTCAAATTTTCAGAGTTTTTGGACGTTAC